GCATGAAATAGAAGCTTTTGAGCTGAGGCCGATTAAAAATAAATTTTTTTTTCTTGTCAGTCTAATAATTATATATGAAATTTAACTTATGGAATTTAATTTATTAAATTTAACTTTAACTTTAATAATTTTAATTCTTTTTAATAACATTAACATTTTTTTATTTTAATAAAATTATTTTATTTTAGGAAATTTTATAACTATTATTATTCTAAAAAATAACAGTCTACACTCTTATATACCGTATAATAAAATATACCGTATAATAAAAAATTACGTATAATTACCATAAATTTTAGCTATTATTATATTGCGTTTCGCTTTTATTTAATTCTCTTGTTCTCAATTTATCATAATTTGGAAAGTTGAAATTTTTGGCTTAAAATTCGATGTTAAGATTCGATTCATCTGGGTAAATTAAATGGCGACTTTTTAAATCGCATAATTTGATTATATATTATCCAGATATTTATAGTCCTCTTTGACCTTACGTTACAATAATCCTAAAAATCTCTTTTCTATAATTTTTGAGTTTTCAAAATTTTAGCTAACGATGTCACGGAAATAGTATGTGATATCTTTAGTTACAGAAAAGTGTAAAAATTAACGTATATACTTAATGAGCAAAGTTGCTTGATCTGCTAAAATTGTGATTCTCTTAATTTGAGTTACATAGAACTAGTGTACATATACATCTTTTTTTATCTAGTTTCTTAAGCGAAGTAATAAGTTTACAACTAAACGTGTTTAAACTTAAATCTGTGTGAGACAAATATCGGAGAAGATAATGTCAAGAAAAATGTTATGAATAAAAGGGAAATGGACGATAAAAAAAAACGTAAGAGAAATAAAACGGCCATCACGCAAACGGTTTATGGTGCTTAAAAAAATAATACAAATATATTATATATATTATGCATTCTTATTAAACTTCACTCACTTCCGACAAGTCATTCCTGCCGTAGCTATTAAACGAATCCATTTTCACGCGATGACAGCACTGGCACTATCACTTTAATTTTATACTTTATTCATACAATATCAGCGAAAACTATCAGTGGGTCAGGCGCGCTCGTGTTAAAAGTAGTATATATTATACTTGCGTAGCGACAATAATTACACATACGGGAATTAAGCGCGCGGTAATTTACGAAGTACGTGCCGATATTGCGTGAGTAAACTCATCATTCTGAGATATTCGATTAAAAATATGGAATAGGACACAATTATTTCAAATCAGACAAGCGCAACGGCAACTGCGACGGCGATAATGCTCCACTGCACGTCTCTCATCAACGACTGAACTGGACTGAGCACAGTGAGCACGAGGTCTCTAAATCTCTACTCGACAGGGAATGACGAAGAAACAAATATGAAACTGCAGTGGGATAGTCGCGGTTGAACAGGTTTCAACGGGGATTTCCCGCATCGCAACCGCGGCCAATCACCACCGCTGTACGTCGTACCGCGATAGCTGACGCAATAATTACTTATGCCTCATTGGCGTCGATATTTTCAAAACGGATCATTTTTTCTGATTAATTCTACAATAGAATTTTCAACTTTTTGATTTCTCTGTAAGTAATGGTTGTTTGTTGTAGAACGTTTTTTTATACTGGAAAAAAAAAATATGCTTTTCAAAAAATCCCATTCAGGAGATGGTAACGCGACGGCTGAACGTAACCTCAGCTATACAAACCAAAAATGGATTATTTAATTTTTGTTCGATTTTCTTGTGAAATCGACTCATTCGGACTTTCTATTTGTGCGTATTTTATAATTCTGTAAAAATTGTAATCTATAAAGCCAGTTTTACAATTTTAGGTGTAATTCGAAATAGGTCTCGTCGCGCTAACATCCCCTTAAAGATCACTAAAAGATTTCATAATTGCCTTTTACAATTTTCCGTATTTTTATATTTTATATGTTCATGTCAAATCTTATACTTATAGCACCGATTTAAAACGCACAAAAAGAGAATAAATTATTGCAAAGTGATGCCAAATAGTATCCAAATTACATTTTTAATTTTTATTTATGATATATCTTCTTAAAAAAGACACTAATTTAATTTTTATAGCTTAAATTTTTTCAGAAATAAATGGATTTGATTAGTCGATTTTTAAAAATTATAAATATAATTCAGCTATATAATCTAACACATGTATAATAATTAAAAAAATATTATGACTTTATAGATGTATAGCAATATTAGCAATCATATATAAAGAAAAAATTACAGAGCAGTAAAGTTATATAACAAAAAAGCCGAAATTGTAGTATCAAAATATGAAGCATTAACTGCTAAAGCATGCTAATTGAGAATCTAAATTTGATAAATAATTTTAAAAAACTATAATTTAAAAAAGTCACGAGCAATTAAAATTACGGAAAAAACTGATTTCTTTCAAGTCATAATTAAAATTCAGAAAGGACTTACTTAAAAAAGTATTGATTAAAAAATTCAGGGTACCATATAAAAAAAGAAAAAAATAGATAATTTCAACGTTGATTTAACGTTGAAGAAAAATAACATAAAACTTCGCAACTATCCTTTTCCTTACAGTTTTTTGTCTATCGATCTGTATTTTGACATAACGCTTTGCTGTAAACCTTTGTAATTCTCCAAGTATTCAAATTTAATCGAATCTTCTAATGTCGATTAAATTTTTTAAAATTTGCTGATTAAAATTAATTAATCGGCAAATTATATGTTCAGAATCTTCAGAAAAAATTTTCTAAATAATAAAAATTCTATGATTTATATCAAATCTATCAATTAGATCGATTTGAAAATAAAATATTTAATTTTCACCACTTGCGGGAAATAAAATTTCGACTGTAAAGAGTCGAAGAACGCTCCAAGAAAAGCGAGTATTCAAGAATCTAGATTGATAACTGATTTAACTCAGGAATAGTCGCTTCTAATTTTTTTTGTATTACCTAGGATGTTTTTTTACAGCGAAATTAAAAGTTACTATCATTAAAAAACAAAGAGGATATATATACACTCGATATTATCAAAATGGTTTATACAATAAGGAAAAATGATCAATAAACGAGCAAATACGAGATTCTTAATAAAAACGAATTAAGATGATATATTTATATATATAATTAAATTACAGAATGTGTGTGTGTATACGAGAACAATGATCGCAAGACGTTTTGTACTCACAGTCTTCATCAGTTGCATAAAAATCGGAGTATAAATAATACGTTTGATTGATTTCAAATTATATATTATATAATCAGAAAATATTTTTCACATAAGTAATATTGAGACACTTTTCTATGTATTTCCTCATAATAATGAGTTGTTGAGACGTATTTCCATAAGTCGACGCGTATTTTCATAAATCTTTTACACGTATACATTCACATAATAAAAGAAAACAATTCGTCGTTATTAGGTGAGAATAAGTTTTCGTCAAACTAAGTAACGAAATTGAAATAAAATACCTTAAACAATATCAAGTCAATCTACAGTCAAACTAATAAAAAATAATCATTTAAAGAATCTTAATAATGATTTATAGTCAAATTAGTAAAAATTATTAAAAATTAATATAATAATTATTACTGTCATTAATAAAATATTATATAGGTACTATTGATTGTTCTATAATTTATTAATATTTAAAATCGTATATATACAGATTTACTTAATATCTTCTTAAAGTGTAAGACGAAAAAAAAAATAGATATGAATTTTCGATCAGTAAAAAAATCTAACTATAAACTTTCTCTTTTTGAATCTACTTGAATGTAAAAATTATCTCGTGTAATTATTCCTGCACGGAGAGAATTTTTTCTTAGAGTTTACCCTGAAAATATGATAGTCGTGGGATAACATTGTATTTCGAAAAATTTTAATGTAAATCTCTCTCATTCATTAATAAAACTACAATAAAGTATAAAATAAGTTTGACTGATTTTACTGAAGTGCATGGTAAAAATCTTTAAAATATCGTATTGTACTATATTTTCAGGGTAAATTTTAAAAGAAAATTCTCTCCGTGTAGGTACTTAAGTGGAATACAAATAATTGAGATAATAATTTCAAATTTGGAAATAATACGCTTTCGAGTATTTTGTGGTGGGCGCCTATGTCCGACTTTATTTATAGTATGTACGCGTAGTGATGCACAGAGTAGATATATACACGTCGATATAGTCGCGATCTTCTTTACGACATTATACATATACACACGCGCGCGCGCATAAATAAATTTATATATACAGGATGTCCCGAAATTCCCGCATTCGGAGTACAGGACATGATACTTTATGCTAAAACAAACAACTTTCTCCTATAGTAAAATTACATTCAATAAATAATTTTTGCGTTTACTCGTATAACTTCAATCTGCTTTCCCGCAAAAACTACTTGTCAGACACAATTTTGCAAAAGGAAAAAAGTTGTTTCTTTTAGCATAAAATATCACGTCCTGTACTCTGAATGCGGGAATTTCGGAACACCCTGTGTGTGTGTGTGTGTGTGTGTGTGTGTGTGTGTGTGTGTGTGTGTGTGTGTGTGTGTGATGTGTGTGTGTGTGTGTGTGTGTGTGTGTGTGTGTGTGTGTGTGTGTTATATATATAAATCAGTGATGTGGAGATACAAATAGATATATATTTGTATCTCGACATCATCGATTTTTTTTTACAAATAATTTATAACAATCAGCTTTTTTAGGAAAATGCACACATGCACAATAAAATTGTAATGATGTTAACATTTTCACATCTGCTCCCTGCAGTACATCATAATATTAAATATACAATTACGACATTAAGTAATTGAATAATTTTATGACATTACTAAATTAACTATTATTTATTATATTCTTTTAATTTGTTATCACTTTAATTATTATTTAATTAAATAATTCCTTACATTTCCTTTATTATATACATAATTATTTATTATTATTATATTTATTTAATTAAATACAATTCTTTATATTTCTTTTACGTTCTTTGAATTACCATAAATAATGTTTCCAAACGTATTACATATTGCATTGTAATGAAGCGAGATTATTAGCAAGGGGAAAACATTATTTAGTAGAAATGATTACGTACGATTAATTGAAAATATCCAACTAAATAATCGATCGATTCGAAGGAAAGGCATCCGTGAGAGAACACGTTGCTTACGTTTATGGATAATTATACCTGCAATTATCATAAACCCTAGATAGACGTGTGTCAGTAGTTGTACAAACGTAAGCACTATGAATCATTTTGATGTATATTTCGCAATTTGCTAGAGAAAAGATTGTAGGCTCTGCTTCTAAGAATATGGACATTTTTACGGCAGAACATCTCGTTATTATCGATTCGTTAAAGAATATGATACAAATTTTGAAGTACAACATAAGCGACATATAAATATGTGAGAAACGGGCCCCCAATAATTTCGTAGATCTGCGTAAAAAATATATCAACGATATGAAAGAAATATGCATGGAGTATATATGTATAGTCTTTTAAAAAAACTTTCTGTCTAGAATATATCTCTCCTTGCCTAATTATGCTTCACAAAAATAATAATTAAAAGACAAGTGTAATTTAATAGTACGAAAAATCATTATAAAAAAACAAGTTAACTTTTATGTATTGCTATATCGAAATAGACTTGCTTGTTTATGAAATAATTTGGAGCAGAAACGATCAAATAAGAAGTAAAAATTTTTAGTAACGAGTAAGTAGATCAAGTCAGAAGCGAAGTTATTATTCATCCACAAAAAGAAAGAGGATAAAATTTGATAGAGAAAACTGGGAGGATCTCGATTGACCACGTCTCGATCGGATACTATTATCACACTAAAAAAAATCCATACACTCTACATTAAAATTACGTTTATGACTGGAAACTTAATTATGATTGGAAAACTTTTTTCTAGATTTTTTAAAATAAAAATACATTCTTCTTACGTTAGGCCTCTGGCCTGTGTTATACCTCTCTCATATGCTTGTGGTGCGCACGCTGATTATTCAATTAAAATATATATTAATGATAAAAAAAAAGTATATGTGGAAGTATTATTTTTATGCAAAAATAATTTGTAGTTTTACATTTAAGCAGTATTTTTATAATATAAACGAAAAAAAAAACCAGTTTCATTGGTCACGAAATTCAAAATTCATGCAGAATATGGTATGTCAGCAAATTAAAAAATAAAATAAAAATGACAATGTTTTAAAGGTACCCGGTTTGACGTGGAATGATATTAAAAACATAAAATTACTTAATGTACTGCATTTTAATTTTAGATTCTTTACATTATAAAAAAAAGTTAATTATCGCAAGTTTACATTTAAAATATAAGTTAAATTTAAG